ATAGTCGCTGATGCTCCAGCGAGAAGCTTTATTAAAGGAATAAAAAACCATAATGCATATTATGGATGCGAGAGATGTTATTTTAAGGGTGAATATTCTGGTCGAGTAATTTATCCTGTTGGTCAAACTTGCCCATTGTACACAAATCTTTCATTTTCTAGTAGATTATTTACCTCTCATCACGATGCAAATTTTATTTCCCCTTTAGAAAGAGCGAATGTAGGCATGATAACTCAAATTCCTATTGACTACATGCATTTATGCTGTTTAGGAGTAATGAAGAAATTCATTTTAGCTTGGACTAGTGGCCAAATTCCTCATAAATTGTCCCAAAAGCAAATAAGTATAATCTCTTCGAGGCTTTTAAATTTCAGGACTAGGACACCTTCACATTTTTCTCGTAAACCAAGAAGCTTGTCTGAGGTTAAGCATTGGTAAGCAACAGAGTATCGTAATTTTTTGCTATATTTTGGCCCAATTAGTTTAAAGGGAATTTTGTCCACTGAAAAATATCACCATTTTCTTTTGCTGCATTCCGCTATTTATATTCTAGCTTCTTCATTGGTAAATAGCACAAGTTGGATAGATTTAGCGAAAGATTTGCTGAATGACTTTGTAATGAAAATACCTATTTTGTATTATAAGGAGATGCTAGTATTTAATGTACATTTACTGACTCATTTAGCTGATGATGTGCGAATCCATGGCCCACTTGATAGCTTTAGTGCTTTTCCTTTTGAAAATTTTATGCAAATTATTAAGAGAATGTTGAGGTCAAAATATGCTCCGCTTAATCAAGTTGTTCACCGTCTCTCTGAAATGCACGATTTAGAAATGCCTTCTTCAAAAAATTACTTGAATTGTTCATTAAACATTTCCCCAAAGTTAGGAGATAACTGTTACTGCACCGTTGACAAAAAAGTGTGCTTAGTTGAGATATACAAAGGTGAGATGATGTGCAGATTTTTTGAAATATATTCACAGCCAAAATCATATCCTTTTGAAAGCAAAGAAATTGGTATTACATATGTCAGCAAATTGGGAATTTTGCAAAAAGTTGATACATCAATACTTTCCAAAAAATGTGTAATCCTGCCTTGCGGAAAAAAGAGTTTAATCATACCGTTGTGCAATTCATTTGAAACAAATAGGAGAAACTAAATATTATCATTATAAATATGCTATTAATTGTTATTAATTTATTAATTGTTAATTAATGTAAAATTATATTAAACAATTTTGTTTAATGTTATTAATTCGTATGTAAGAAATTATAAAAATGCCAAAACTTAATAAACATTTAGTAATGAAATATCGGTGTCTGAGTGACTGTTTTTCAGTAACGATAAATAAGTACATATTCTGCACCAAACCGTAACTTTATATCGGCACTTATTTGGAAGATTTTTAGGTGGCTAATCATCACCTTGAAATATTGCTACATTTCGGTACCAAATAAATGGCACATTTCGTTACCAAATAAGCGCCTCTCGTCAGTACCCGCATCAGCAACACAAAGCGTTGCGTTTCGGTAATATTGAAGTACCATTTTTCGAATACTATTTCAACGCTTAGGTTGCGGCTCGGGCTATCTGACTTGTTGCACAGGCCATTCCACTGCGGGTACCATAGTTAGCAACCTGTGACCATCTATTGCTACACTTATCTGAGGTTTGTTTCACTTGTAATTCAATTGTATTCATGGCTAAAATTGGGAATCAATAAAGACGACATTTTTTTAAATCTCAATTTCTGTAAAAGTTCTACTATAGAGTAAGTTGTGTTATTTCCTAACTGCAAGTCTTTCAGCTCGCCATATATCCGAGGTGGATGGGGAGCAGGTTTTAGCACCGTCTTCAGAGCAGCTCAGCCGCCTACTTTGGAATGGTGCATGTCTGACAGTAAATGTAGTGATCTTCTCAAAGGTTGTGAGGGGAATACGGTATGTCAGAACAACGTCGTTCAATGCAATATGCACCCCAAGTGCCTCCAACATGTTCATTTGTACGAGAAGCAAAAAAGAAGTTTCGGATACCGGCCACCATATTGGTAACTATTCGAATATTTAAACAAATCTGTAAAAAAAATATGAAAGAAGGGAGGAAATTTCAAATAAAGGGGCTCATCTCATCTAAATAAACTAATCTAAACGAATGAATCGCAACAGTAAAGGGTGTTGACTTAATTCGATCACATTTTTTTCTTGGTGAAGAAGCAAGTGCAAATTTCTTTTTTTTAACGTAAGCATACATATCGACGGCCAAGTTTTTCGAAATGTTTAAGATTTGGTCTGTGCAAAGAGGGCTTCAATTATTTATACTTTTAACCCTTTTGTTGTGACTTTGTGGACTTTTTCCTAAAGTAGAAATTGCGATAAAATTTTACTCATCCTGAAATGAGTGTGATCGAATTAAATAAACACTCCTTATACAGATGTGTGGTGCTCGGCAGTTTTGAATTTCATAAAATTTGGTCCTCGTGCCATGGTATGAAGTATGTATGTACAACAATACGATTGTGTTGAAATTTTGGAATTATGAAGTTCAAATCAATACAAGCAACGTTTCTGGGGGCAGTTGCGCAATGGTCGACACTTACCAAAATTAGGAAGCCAACAAGAGTTTTCATGGTAAAAATGGTAATTTTTCACTATCGCTATTTTTAACTTGGACCTCAAATATTGTCGTAAATTCTTAACCATCGCACAAACTGTTTTAAGAAGGAAATCATAATTAGCGATTTAAATGATAAAATCTTCAAGGATAAAAAATATTTATTATTAAAAATATTATACTGGACAATTATTTTCGTTGGTTTAGTATTTTTTGCTCACGTTGATTATGTCTTTTTATAAATAGTTGCTACTAATTTGTCATGATTTAAAAATTGTAATTCAATAAATTTGTAAAAAAATTGAATTACATAGTACTTATTGATAACTAATAATCCTGTGGGGATTTCTTGACATGACAATTAATTAAACCATTGCAATAAACTTAATTTTTTACGCTATTAAAAATATGTTTTGCAAATAACATGATCACGAACCTTAATGCCTAATTTCACATGACAATGTCCAACATATTTACGTACTTATCGACAACATTACATGCTAAATAATTTATGGACAAATCGTTACCAGAGCAGAGGTCAACGCCGACGAGTTTGTCGGCGGCGGCGGCGGCGCCAATTTTGGAGGATTTTTCGGCGGCGTGGGGGCGCGGCGCGCCGCGGTGGTAACAGATTTTTTTGTAAAGAAAACTTTGAAAAATTAAATGAAAATTAATTCCTGAATAAGGCACAACTTCAAAATCAAGCAGTACCAAAATCCGAAAATGAATACGTTGTGGCTAGAAGTACTCGAAAATCTCGGCAGATGCCGTTCCTGATCTATGGGGGATGGTAAGTTTACCTCGTATTACTCTTATGAATTATGGTAAAGCATTTTATCCGGCTAGGGAGCCAATCCACACTTTTAAAAGAATGTTTCCATTTTGAACACGAAGTGAATACACTTGCAGCCTTATATTAACGCAGCAACTTTTTTTCAAGATACACCAGAGTAATGTTAAAAAATTAATCGAACAATTAGTAGTCACGTGGCACTCATCCGTCCGTTGAGTGGTCAATTTGAAGAAAAATATTGGCAGGAAAATTTAATTCTTGCGTAAATTTTCTCTCGATTTTTCCTACACGTGGCGATAACCAAGGGAAGCATGAACTTGGACTATCAATATTTTTCTTAAAGAGGCCAATTCAACGGATACAGGAATGCCACGTGATTCCTAATTTGTAGATTGATTTTTTACATAACCCGCTGCAAAATTCCGAATGTACCTTGAAAAAGGGTTCCATTGTTAGTTAGACAAACTAAATCTTGGGTACCATTAACTCGTAGAAATGCAAAGTTTACGATTGGAGTACACACCAATAAGCATTTTAAGAGTGCAAGAAGGTTCATTAGGTGTGTGCTTTTCCTATGAGCGTATCCTTAATCATATCCACTCCTCGACTTATGTCGGGACCTTGGAATGTAAAATTCGCCTCAGTATGAAACTAATGTATATAATAATAATAATTTATTCATTGAATAATTCTTGCGAGGCTCATGTCCCATAGAATTATAGGTCAATTCTCAGCATGATTTTACAATACAACAGGTTTGAAACTAATGTGTGACGCAAACTTTTTCAGTTCACCAGCTGGTAAGGGATGGGGAACGCGGATTACGGACACCAATTTGAGAAAATATTTTCAAGGAGGGGGACCGTGGTGGGGTTCAACGTTTTTCGACCAGTTTGACTTATCTATATACTGAAAGTATACCATAAAAATTATCGTTGTTTGTCGTTGTCGAATCGCATAATTCTTGCTCCCCTTTGAGTGGGTGTGGCGGGCGCAAATGTGGCCATGGAGTCAAACCACTTCAGGGTTATAGTACACTCATAGGACCCTACCACATATCCAAAGTACATCAAGATCTGAGAGGGGCAGGTGGTAAAGCTCCCCTCCTAAGTAGTAGGAGCACGTTGCGAAGATAATTATTTCCAGATTGTAAATGCTGAATAGACATGTATTTAATGATGCAGTTGCTACACACAACTTAAATAAATATTATATTTTAAGTAACATCTTACATAGGCTGAAAGGGCGAAAAATACCATTTAAATATGGCCCTAAAATTTGAATGGGTTGACCGAATTGAATTCGTCGAAATTTGCTTATGTTGTCAACAAACCAATCTGCTTGTATTCCTAATTTTTTCAAACATTTTATTTGAAAAATGAAGAAGCATTATTCCTCAGAACCGGAAGTGGTTTTGAAGACGCTTTCCTGAGAGGGTTACTCACAAAGAGAGACTGCAAACCGACTAAAAATCGACGAATTCGAGGTCAGTCAGGTATAAATATACAGTGTACATGGGGTAATATAAAGCACCTGACATAAACAAAAGGCGAATCAGTACCTAATAGAAAAAAAAACATTTTAAATGGACCAAAATGGGGATTTATCGTGTTAAAAAACCAGTTGTCAAAGAAAACTCCAGGATTCAGAGGAAGATTTCAAGGAAGATTGAAACAAGTCCAGACACTATTAGAAAAATCATTCGTGAAGGTTTGGATAAACAGAGTCCTCGAGAAACGAAAGTCTAAGCGTTGAATCAATGTCAACCTCAAAATCATAGGACCAGCTCTGAAAAGCCTTCAAAAGCCACCTGCCAGAAAACATAGTGAATGTACTGCCGCAGTCAATTAGGCCTGACATTACCCTAACTATTGGCAAGGTGAGAGAAAAATATATTCCCTCAAGGACGGTGAAAAATTTGATGAAATGTGGAATTTCGATGCATGAAAAAGTGATTTGAAAAAATAATGGTGGTTCGAGTTCTGCATAGCAGAGAACCACTCCTCTTATTTGAGGAACTACCAAATGTAAAAATTAACTCCCACTTATGTATTGGCAATGTTTTGAAGCCACTGCTGGGAGTTCGTCTTACCAAATTCGATCCTGTTGAAATTAACAAGATTTTCATTCATAATGACAAAATATATGGTGCCACATATATCTGTGTGAAAGTTTGAGACATCAATGCTCACTGGCGGGTAAATAAAATTCAAACCTGTCGCCAAAATCGGGTAGAGCAACTCAAAAAATAGTTTTCTGAATTTTTTTGTAAACTTATTTTTAAAAAATTCCCTCGTCTTGCTCACTTGAAGCAGATGTGAGTAAGAATTAAATAATTCGACAAGCAGATCCGCTGACTATTTCAAAAGTGGAAATACTCTATTGAATTATGCTCCCCATATGAAAAGACTTAAAACTTAGCAATTTTTTCGGGCGCCAAAATTTTCCCTGGGGGGTTATGAGAACAATGAGAGATTAATATGATGCACAGCATATCTATGGAACGGGTTGATGAAATTTCAAAAACAAAATTTTGTTAGACTCCCTGGATCAGTACCCCGATAGGCTTTTCGAACTGGGGTCGAATTCCGATTTTCAGGGTTTTTTTGCAGCGACGCAAAATTGACTCAAAAATTAGTTTTTCGCTATGACGAAAAAGTTTGACGAAATGTTAATACATTAGCTATTCACCAATTTTTACTACGTTGCAAATTATTAGTAGTAGAATAAAGGTTAAATTACCCAAAAAGTCGAAATCGACCTGCGTGACCTTTTTCGGGGATCGAACGGTCACAATGTCAAAGGTCATATTGCCCCATAAATGGGGTATCGCTGGAAAGGTATTGGCGAGAGGATTCAGAATATGTATACTTTGTGGGGTCTGAGACCACTCCCTGCAAGTCTAGAGGCCAAAGAACGAAAATCGGCAGTTGTCCAGAATTTAACACAGCAGTGGATTGGGAGCTAACACGGAAGCATGCATAGGAAAAATTCAAAAATATTCTTCTGGCTCTATGTTTGCGGGGAGTGGTTTCAGACCCCACAAAGTATACATATTCTGAATCCTCTCGCCAATACCTATCCAGCGATACCCCATTTATGGGGCAATATGACCTTTGACATTGTGACCTTTCGATCCCCGAAAAAGGTCACGCAGGTCGATTTCGAATTTTTGGGTAATTTAACCTTTATTCTACTACTAATAATTTGCAACGTAGTAAAAATTGGTTAATAGCTAATGTATTAACATTTCGTCAAACTTTTTCGTAATAGCGAAAAACTAATTTTTGAGTCAATTTTTCGTCGCTGCAAAAAACCCCTGAAAATCGGAATTCGACCCCAGTTCGAAAAGCCTATCGGGGTACTGATCCAGGGAGTGTAATAAAATTTTGTTTTTGAAATTTCATCAACCCATTCCATAGATATGCTGTGCCCTATGTGCACCACATTAATCTCCCATTATTCTCATAACCCCCCAAGGGAAATTTTGGCGCCCGAAAAAATTACTAAGTTTTAATTCAGTTCTTGTGGGGAACATATTCCAACAGAGTTTTTCTACTTTTGAAGTAGTCGGCGGATCTGCTTGTCGAATCATTTAATTCTTACTCACAACTAAACTTTTTACAGGTTTCTACGTCTCCTTGGTGGTCGGCCGTTGGTGGGAGCAGTTTAAAAATATCCCTTGGATTGACACTCTCGCGATCTGGATCAACGCGAATATTCGCGGCAACAGGGAAAAGGACCGTCTCCTTCGGCGAACCCTGATCCGCTACGCAAATTTGACCATTGTCCAATGTTTCATCCTAATTTGTCCCCGTGTCAAGAAACGTTTCCCCACGATGGAACATCTCGTCGAGGGTGGCCTTCTGCTGCCGAATGAGAAAGAAATAATGCAAGATCTGTCCGCCTCCCTGCACAAAAAATACCAAACCAATTGGATCCCGCTCGTCTGGGCGGCGGGAATCGTGACGAGGGCACGTACCGAAAATAAAATCAAGAACGATTCCGTGGCAAACATTTTACTGACGGAGCTAACAAAACTGAAGGATCAGTTGAACATGTTGATAAGCTATGATTGGATAAGTGTACCCCTCGTTTACACGCAGGTCGTCACGCTGGCGGTGTATTCGTATTTTTTGAGCTGTCTGATGGGGCGGCAGTGGCTGTTTAATCGGGAAGGAGCAATTAAGAATAGTTCCTCGGCGGAGACGGAAGACAAGTGGAATGAACTGGATATCTTTCTCCCGTTTTTTACAATATTGCAGTTTCTCTTTTATATGGGATGGCTGAAGACGGCGGGGTCCTTGCTTAATCCTTTTGGTGATGATGACGACTTTGAGCTTAATTGGTTCGTGGATAGGAATTTACAGGTGAATACTATGTACATTTATTTGTTATTATTTGTTTATATATACATATGTATAGAAATTATGTACATAAGAGTATTGTTTGAATACGTTAATTAAGTAATTCACGAAGGCCTAGGTAACATTGTAAAATTGCAAACTTCAAAATACTTTACAAAATTGTAAATTATTTTTAAAGAAGCTCACGAATTTTTATGAATTTGGTCAGATCACAATCTCATTATAATGATAAAAGTTTATCAATTCATATATTTTTTGTTTCCACAAAGTTTGGCTCAATTTATTTACGGAAATGTTAAATGCAACCTTGGTGAATCAATAATTTATTAGTTTCGCATTTTCCAGGTTGGCTATCTAATCGTGGACGGGATGCACAAAGAAATCCCTGAGCTATTAAAAGATCAATACTGGGATGAAATTGTGCCTCCCGAGCTGCCTCACACGGTTGCCTCCGAAGCCTACAAAGAGTCCCCGTTCGAAGGGTCCACCAGCAATGTGATCGTCTCAGAAAAAAATGCCGCTGTCATGCCACCCTCCGACCCAGCCCTTCATGCCTCCGCCTCTTCTCACAATTTGCTAAAAACGAGTCATTCCGCAAAAAAGATGACGCCAATTCCCGACCAGCCCGAAGACCAGAGCCGTCTCCTCGATGCGGCGGCAGATGGCGCCATTGAAAACGTTGACACAATTAATTTCGATGCCTTAACGGAAGGAGAGGGGACCCACCCAAGCATTGAGGACGTGTTTGGAATAGAATTTAAAGTGAAAAAGCCATCGGACGAAGAAGTGAAGCAAGGTGGGAGTGGAGATGAGGAAAATCCCGATATGATCGAGTTGGATGAAGTGGTTGTTGGGGAAGGTGCAAAAGATACCAAAGATTAAGTTAAAGGGAACGTGCATAAAATATGTGACACGGTTGAGGGCTATTCTGATTAATGTCAGCTTAAGCGAAATGTAAGAAATGGGGATGTAAGCCTATTAACAATACTGATTTTTTTTAATAGGCAAAAGTTCTTTAATGGTTTCTAAATAATATTTTGCGCGTCTGCCAGGTAACCTCGTAAAAATTATTTTGCCTTTATTTCTTGGACGAAAAATAGCAAAGCAAGGGATGGTAGAAAATCGTCAATTTGTGTCATGTATGTATACTATAAGTATTCAAAAGACTGGTTGTTCAGAAATTAATTTTCATTAACTAAATAATTGTTTTTATTTATTTTACTTTTTTTAAATGATTATAAGTACTTAAGTGTGGTGAGGCTGTTATGTTGGAATTTTTGTTTTATGTTACTTAATGCAGGTATGAGTGGATTATTTTGTTCATTGGTAGACGATCGGCCGATTGTTACATTTGTATGCATACATTGCATACGTATGGAATGGCCGGAATCTAATAAAATTTTGAGTTACGATTCATTTGACATGTTTAGATTGTCATTCTACATGATATGGGATTTAGGAAAACGTTGGTCGATAGTCTATGTAATAAAAAGTCCACCATAAACAAACCTACATTTGTTTAAGATACTCAAAAGAAACTTTCAACATGGATTTTCAGAACAATTTAAATATTTTAATTTTTAAGAAACTAATTGTTAAAACCAATTTTCTTACAGTTACCGTAACCAAAGGCTGCAATAGTTTACATAGTTAAGACACGAAAATACTGCACTATTATGAAATTACTCAAAAATACTGTAAACACATTAACTTGAAACACTGACGGCTTTTAGAATTTAATAAAATAAAAGTATATGTTCGCACACATTTAGTTTGTTACACTAGGGAGCAATTTTATTCGGGTAAGGGGAACCTCAAAATTCAAGTGACAATTAGTCAGTAACAGTAAGAGATATTCCAAAGCCTTTCCTGCAATTAGTAGATAATATAATAGGGTTCCAAATTGTATGTCTCATTTCACCCCAAGCCTCATATTTTTAGGGAGAGAGTAGGGCAAACTTTTTTTGTCAGAATTTTTCCGAGCAAAATTATTCGTTTTTTGTCTAAAAATGCAAATATATACAAAAATTGTATAAGTATCGAAATACTGTTTCGTAAATTTAATGAACCATCTTATGATCTATTTATTTTGAAAATTTGAAACTTGTAAAGTCAGGGGAAGAAGACTGCGGAGACCCCTATTGACCACCTAATGCAGGTTTTGGAAGACAATGCAAATGGGAAGAAGGTTCAAAGTGAAAATTCTGAAATACGTCATATCTCGTCCCCCTATATCTACTTTATGATTAAAAAATACAGAGAAACTGGAACAACTGCTAACATCCTAGAAACAGAAAAAAATTTGAAGTTTCCCTGCAAAAAATATCAAGCAATCGTTATGAAAGTCTAGGCCACGCCCAGATTTTCAGGACCCAAAATCGCTACCGCGGTCCAAAATGACCTTAGAGAGTCAGTAATTCGATTTCAAGAAGCAAGAACCCTGAAAACTGCCGGACTGACAAATTTGAGAGCTAGGAAAAAACAATTAATCAGCAGATAGGATAAAGGAATAAGACCAAATTTCTAATGGGCCCATGTTTTGTCGGAACGATATTTTTGGAAGCATATCGAATGGTCCGACAAAAGTTTCAACATTCCGGAATCTAATATACATGCTCTCATTTTGAGAAAGTAATGGGAACCACTGAAAATGAAGAATCTACCAGTTACCGGCACAATTGTGGTGGCAGCGTTATGATATAGGGGTGATCTAGCTCTGGTGCTACTGGGGATTTAGAATTTTAGGAACGATTCATGGACCAATTTGTCTAGCAGGGTCTAGTTATTCGAAATATCAAAAGTTTTACGACCACTAAGGCTCTGGGTCGACTACATAAACTCCAAAAAGGCATGGCCCCAAGCAAAAAGTGCAACCAACTGGGACTATTTTGAACAAAAGACACATTAAAGTGTTGGAATGGCCACCTCGAAGCATAGAACTTACTCCCTTTGCATTTGTCTGGGACCGTGTCGAAAAAGAAATTAAAAAATTCAAACTTTCAGGCGTAGGCGAACTGAATTTTAAAAAAATCTGAACTATGGGAAACGTTCGTTAAGAAATCGCCTCACAATTGGCTGCATCTATTCAAAGCCATTGTAATGCAGTAATTTCCATCAAGATAGGCCCAATATATCATTGAGTACTATTTTGGATGTTTAATTAAAAGTATAAATGCAGATTTAAAAAAAAAGCTAATTCTACCCGAATAATTTTGCTCTCTTTTTTTCTGACTTTCTTCACTGTTTATTTGATGATGCGAAAATTTGAATGTTTTTTCAAAATTGGCTTAATACAACTTAAAGACTACTAGATGGTGCATAAGCTGCAAAAGATTTCAAACCATAACTTTGGGCAGTTACTCCGTTATCGGCATTTGAATTTTGAGTTAGGTCTTACCCGAATAATTTTGCTCCCTAGTGTATTTTTGCTAAATGTACGAAATTTTGAATAGTACGGCGATGCAATGAATCCATGCGTAAGGACAGATTAATAAAACTTAATGTGGAGAATAAATTTTTCATGGATTCAAATTATGCATTATGTTCTAGTTCTAACATGTCGATAATACCGTCAATATTCGTGGACAAACTGTCTCACATACAAAAACTACCAGAGAAATTAACCAGAAGATGCCGCAAACCTTGAAAACCTGGCTTGTACCTTTCAACGTTACAAATTCAGATTTTTTCCCGCCGTCAGCTTTCGTCCCATCTTCCCGATTGTCCAACTCCACATTTGCCAACTTCATCCTAAAGTTGAGAAATTTAGAACCTGCCAAGGCCCGAGGACACAAACCTTTCCAATATGACACGAATTCTCCTTGCTCCCCTGTATCTTCCCTCCCATCTGAACGCGACATTCGGCATTGGTCCGTTCCCGCTCAGTTTGTCCACTTGCTCGCCAACCACGCCGAAGCAGGTTAGATTAGGAAACTTTCTGCCCATATAGTTGACGTAACTCGGCACCATCTCGCCCTCAATTAGGACGGCCCCGGTACTCGTCATTTTCACCGAATGGCCCGAAGTTCGGACAAAATTGGCCAAGGAATCGACACTGTTCTTAAAGAAAAAAAGTTTAAAAATTATCCCGTCTCTTTTTGTAGAATAATTCGACTCCATTGTAGCGGTCTTTTCAAATTTCTTATCTACGTTGTCCATTTCTCCCGAGTTTCCGGTGTACAATGTGGTATATCCGGCATTATAGAGTTGAATTAGGGAATTTATGATGACCGGTTTCTCGGGTGATACCAGCCCGCTGATTATCCCGCCTTCAAAGTAGGCGCTGATACTCACGCAGCAAAGACACGTGAGCAGGGTGAGGCACGCTTTGACTCCGGAGCTTCGTACATTTGAATGGAATTGATGAAGGATGGCGCGAACTAGGTGGAAAATGGCGGGAGATTCGAGTTGAACGATGGCGTAACAGAAGGACGCCAATAAAATGAGTAAACCGCACAAGAGATCGATAGCTAAAAAGAAATTTGTAGATCTTTTAAGCTCCACGGCTTCTTTGGGCATGCAATAGACGGGTAAAACCTGTTAAAAAATTTTATGGACTTTAAAATTATTCATTGATTATTCAATTCTTCGACGTTCGACAATAAATATTTAGTCATTAATCATGTGTTGTCCATTTTCTGTAAAATTCGTCTTACTAAACAGACGGGTTTCATAATATACGCCATGCATTACGCGAATACAGAAAAGTGAACAATACATAAAATTATTTATTCATTCTTCATGAATATGACATGATTAAAAATTTAGTATTCAATTTTGACATACAGAAATCTGTAAATTTTGAAATAAATAATCAATGAATAATTTATTCATTGTTAAAAATTTTGAAAAAATTGTTTACCCATGAATTTCTTTAATAATGAATGAATAATGTATTCATTGTCTATCGAATAAATGAGTGTGAACAGGTGTGCATGAGACTGGAAATACTTACGGTGTCGGTGTATTCAACGAAATAGAAAGAAGGTGGCTCTTCTATCGTAATACTGGTGGCAGGTTCTCCTTGGCTTGAGACGCGCCTTAAATAAAGTTCTGGAAGGTTGTAGTCGAGCTGTTTGTCGGCCCCGGTTAGAACCGAGCGCAACGTGAGGGTCGCGTTGAGCGCGACGGTTAGCGCGAATAATAGAGGGAAGGTGGGGATGCATTCGGTTCTTGAAGTGAAGGTTGGGTAGGTTTCACAAAGTTCGCCAAAGTTGAGGAACTTTACGCCATGGACGGTACGGAAAAGGAGTTTGGCTTGATGGAAATTTTTCTGTTGCTGGGTGAAAAGCTGGAGAAGGTCGTTACTTGTTATTACGTCTTGATTGAGAGGGGCTAGTCGAGATATCGGTTCAGCCCTTGAAATAAAATTTGTGGTCAGAATACTGGAAAATGGTAGGAATGAGGGCGACTCGTTTTGTAATTCTGAAAAATACCATTTATTATTACTTACTTAATTTAGAATCCAAGATGCAATGGGATAACATTATTTTTTAGGGTGGACACAACCACTACTTTTTAATACACACATGACTTGCTTAGAATAGCGTAAAGTAGAATAATAAGTTTGGAAATACATTATCATACATATTTTCCAAAAATTTATGTAACCAACCTCTTATTCCCAAGATGTAAGTTGCCACATCAATTTCCATTAGAACGTTAAAAGATTGTCTGCAAGTCTCTAGTAGACCTTCATGAAGATAAATAATATTTAGTTGTGGCGTGGGAGCTCCAGTTAACCACGACTTTAAATTAAATTCTTCCTGTTCAGAAAAGTACATGTGTAACCGCAAATTATTTTCGGGATTTAAATAACGCATCAAAATTATTGCAGAGAGAAATTGCTGAGAATTATGACTCGAACTAGAAAAACGTTCAACGAGAAACAACGTAACGTAATCGTGATTTTCGAAATTGAACAGAATTTCGTTCACTTTGTCACTTTCTCGAAAATTTGTCACTTTTTGTTGGACGGAATTTGATTTGACTAAAATTATCCAAACTTCTTGGGAAAGTTGCAGATTTTGGTGGGCAACAGCAGTAAATTGGGGTATCGAAACCATGGAAATGCAAAGTTTAGCAAGGTAAAGTGTCAGCATTTTTGAGAAGCAAATGCAAATCGTACATTTTTGTGGAGCTATCAAATTGATGAGGAGGTGTGGAATTGATTTTCTTTTTGCAAGTTCCATTTGTAGGTATGTATGTATGAGTATTGTAGTTGAGGTTATGTAAAATTGACGTTTATTTGAACTTGAGCTGATTTTCGCTTCTAGTTCCTATCAATTTGTGTATGCATATGTACCGAGGGTGTAGAAGATTGTAATCGTGTGTCTGCCAGATAAATTTAATTGAGTGTTAGACCGCATATTTATTCAACAGCCTTCCATGAATTTAATTTACGTAAATAATGCTCTGGCTAGGCTTGAAGTTACATTTGCACTGACAACAATTTGTCACCGTCCAATTATTACAAACATAAATAACGCTACCTGTTTCGTGTAATCATTTTTTTCTGTCCGTCTGTCAGTGAAAGGTCAAAACATGTATAACTAGCGTATAAGCCCGTCTCCCACCGGGCGACGGGCTTATTTGATTTTCATGAAAATTAAGTGGGATTGTTCATAATTCCACCTAATTTGTTTTTATGTATTGCATATATGTTATTTTTGACAAGTCTGTTGGCAAGGGAAGTGAAACTATCTCCACTTCCGCTTCCGTCACGGAGGATTACTTTCACTTCCGTTGCAGACAGACATTGCCAGCTTATAATATAGATGCTGTACATATCTATGGAGTTCTTGTCCAGGAAATTTGCAACACTTTCCTATTTCTTCTTTATTTTCATTTATAACGGTTTATTTATTGCTAACAACCTTAAATTATACACATACATAAATCTGGACATGTATTAGGAACGCATCGACATTTTTTTCATAGATTTTCATGAGCACTTTAATATCTAAATAAATAATAACTAAAAACCAATGCATCAACTAATTAAAACTGACGGACAAGAACCACATCATTTATTTAAACCACTTGAGTCCCAATTTATTTAACAAACAGTACCGTATCCCGTTTAAACCTGACATTAATCACCACCGTTACATACTCCGACACCGTAAATATCGACCACATAAGGTCTCCACACAGCTTATCATGCAACATGTAGCCCGTCACCATGCAAGCAATAAACACCATTTGGAGAATGATCAATACCCCAATCTGCCTATAATAATTATTCACGTCCTTGGAATGCAGGACAATTCCGACTTTTCTCTTCAAAAACTTGGTAAAATATTGTAACAACTCGGCCGCAAAGGTGAGGACGATAAAAACCCGGAAAAATACGGAGTGCTCGCCCGGGTCGCAGTCCAGCGAAAAAGCGGGAATCATGACGAGACTGATAATTTCCAGGGTATCGAGCAGATAAGCGACGTTCAGGTAGATTTTGTTGAACCAATTGTCGAAATACCAGGTTTCGTAGAGGCGATGGAGGAAATGGTTTGATAGCAGGCGTGCCACGAAAACGCCGGCCATGATGGCGGTCCAGATGAATTTGCCGACGCGAAACGAGCTCATGGCCCGAGACAGGGAGGGGAGGATGTTAAATGGGTAGTGCTCGTCGCCATGGATGTAGCAGACTTCGCTGGTGGCACGCTCGAAGTTGTAGAAGATGGCCCAGCTGACAGAGATGAACATGGTGAGCCAGACGATGCGTTCCATCCAGCCGAAGATCCAGCCGAAGTCGAGCTCAACTGGGAAAATATGTTAACAAATTTTTAAAATTTGTTAAGCCGATATTAATAGTCTGAAAAAAATCTGAGAGGTTTCCTGGCAGATAATAGATATTATTTTCAAAAAGCCAAATAACCTCTCAGAAAAATTTCCAAGGAATTGAGACTATTAATATCAGCTGAACAGCAGGAGGAGGTATTCACCCAGTGTTTGTGGTCTCTTATTTTGAGAAAACAAATTTCCGATCGATAAAAAATTTCATTAGTATGAAATTTTCAAAATTAATCGGTCTAAATTTCACCAGGATTTACTAATACTTGCATCTAAAAACGAGTAAACGTGCCAAAAAGTTGGCAAATTTAACACTTCTAAATTTACTGCGCGTTTTTTTACACTTAGGATACAAATACCGGGAAATCGTATTTGGCAAAAACTTTATACTAATTTTATTTGTGATTGATGCACACTAATTTACTCAATATCGAGAATTCATAAAATGTTTGTACTGTTGATGTTGAGTTCACTGTCGGAAAGTGGTTCTTCTCCGGCTTCCTCCCATTTTGGTGGATCAAGCTCAGTTGGTGAAGCTAGTGGAGAATCTGAAGTGATATGAACGAATGGATTTAGACAAATTCACGACAAGGTAACATTTTACGGATGAATAAGGTAGTGCTAACCATTTCGGCGAATTGTGCTAGCTCTATTCGGCGGAATTTTCTTTTTCAGGCTGACATTTCTGAAAAGTGGGAATTGAACGACTTCTTCTTCTTCTTCGTTTGCGATGGATCCTGGTTCACTTTGTGCCCTTGGATCTGTGCATTTTCATTCTGTGTATGCACTTATTTAATAATAGTGCAATTAATGGATATGTATTAGACACTTTTCGAAATAGTAATTTTTCTGTGATTGTGCATGTAAACTAATTGAATTGTGAATAAATATTCTTTTTATATTCGCGAAGAATTAATTATTCATTCTTTTGTCAAGCTATAATTAATAAATATGTACAGGCTGTACATTGAAAAATCCAACTAACAAGTCAATTTGAGAGATAATAAAAAAATGAATCTGTAAAAGACTTTATTTTCAAACTGAAAAATGCAAATAAATAAAAATGAACTACTATTTTGTACAATTTGAAAAAATTGAATTAGTATTTAGTTTGAAGGAAAAAATGTTCATTTTTGCACAGGTACATACATATGCTTGCAAAAAGTGTGTAATAAGTGGTTCGAATTTGACAGGAAAATTTTTGTTCACAATGCGATAGTTTGAAGTGTATAACCCTCCGAATTGGTTGAAATTTTAAAATTATGTGATCCAAGTCAAAACAACCAACGTTAATTCTCACAGTTACAGTTATAGGGAAAACCAGTTCATTTTTCAACTTTGACCTAAAATATTATGAAAAATTCCAACCATCGCACAAACTGCCTTAAGAAACATGGGTTGCTTTGACTTTGCCCACATAATTTTAAAATTTCAACAAAATCGGAGGGTTACACTTCACACCATCGCCGCATTGTCAGTCGCAGGACATATTTAGATACATACCTTCGGCTTCCGCATGGGTGGAAAGGTCGATTGAAATTGATCCCGGCGTGTCTTTTAAGAAGCTCGACTGAGGTCGTAACAATCTCGACTTGACTCTGTAACGGAATGACATTTCTCTTCTTCCTTAACTTAATTTAAATTAAACTGAACGTATTAAATACTCATAGTCCTGAGTGGATGGAATGGATACAAAAGTTTGGGTGTGAGGTGAAGTTAACCGTGACGAGTAATGTTCAAATGAAAAGTGTGTGATATGAGCCATTATTTGTTTAAAGTTTATCTTATCTTCTCCCGACAAGGCTGCTGGAGTGAGCAATAATTTACATACTTGCAGGCATACGCATGCATGTAAAAATTCGCATGCAGGTTTTACATCAGACATTTGTGCAAAGCTTATTATGCACATGTACAGATTACTTTGCATAATAAGTATTCGCATTTGTGTCAGGATTTTAGCATGCAAATAAGTGAGGAGTTAGATAGCAGTGCTATGCATGTGGTTATGTACGAGTACTTGTAGATATGCAATCTCATGACCCAATAATTTGTTTCTATGATTTATGAAACAGTAAAGAAAATATACATTTCAAGATCCGAAGTTTTGTCAGGACGAAATATATGGACGGTCCCAGGGGTCTACATAATTAATATGCGCATAAAACTTCTGAGGATCATTGTTGGTGTTTCCGAATAAATTTAGACAATAGATTTTGGATGTATACATCCAAAATTCGTAACAATGCGAACATATTTATTGTTACCTCGAAATATCAAATTTTAACATTTTTTTTTACTAAAAAACAGCCCTGAAACACATATTTTTGTAATGGTGTAATTATATCGTTCACAGATTTAAAGGGTGGTTTAAATATCTCGCCAGACTGGAAAATTTTATAATACGAAAAACCTTTTCATTTCCATTAGTTACTGAAATTTTACCGCTAAAATTCATCATTTCAGAAGTTCATCATTATGTTGTAATTTTAAATCCGTTTTCATGTTAAAGTTAGATAATCAATAAAAATCTCAATTCCAAATCTTTCGAAAACGATATTTATTGGCTTTCCCCTTTAAAAAATTTGCCATTTTAGCGAGAGATTTGTACCACCCTTTGGTTACACAGGTCACGCATGATTTGTAAGTGAACTGGCTGGGCACACAAAACACGAGAACATTTTAACCAAATTGCTCATAAATATAGATACGTCGATATGCAACCTCATAAAGGTTAAGATGGTCGGCATAAATTTATCGCCAAACAAACAGATGTACCCGACACTGAGGATAAGCATCAGAAAATCGCGTAATTTGCCGCCCGCTTGGTTGCTTTGAAAAAATCCGCCGCGTTCAGAAGATGGGTTAATCTCAGGGGATTCGTCGCTCTCAGAAGATTCGCCACTGCTGGTGTCGTCTTCCTCACGTTCGTCTTCAGTTTCATTAGCATCGTCCCCCACATTCCTGTCCAGCTCTGGATGAACATCCCTGTCAAACAATAGTAAAATGTGTTACAATCATTTTGACGGATCACGAAAGCTCGTTTTGGACAGGATTTTTATGCTGTACGTATTTAGATGCGGAAATACTTATAGGTATAAATTAAAGAAATAACCTATGTAAATATGTATCTAGGAAATTGCGTTGTTCCCCGTGCAAGTAAAAACGTGCAAGAAATAAATGTAAGAAATTGGTTTCTTTCAGCATATGTATATATTTTGACGGGCAAGAAATTCCGGGCACATGAAACATCTTCCCGTCGCCATATTCCATTAGGCGAACTGCTAGATTGCGTATACAAACATATGTATTTCATGCAGACTCTTGCATTTCTCGCTTTTGGGGCAAGAAATAAAGTAAGGAGCGAAATACCTGGAAGTTTTACAACTTACCAAAAGCGACGTCGATCAATAACCATTGGAATTTCTTGGTCAGTCCGATCAGCTTCCAGAGCAGCGAGATTTTCGGCCAGTAAATTTCGACAGGAATAACGCCCATACGACGTGCGGCAGACGGGGCACTTGTTTCGCAGTTTGGGGGCATGTTCGGTGCAAATATTGTGCCCGTTGTGCACTGGAGGACCCGGCCTGAGAAGGTGTCCAGGCAAACGGGACATTGTACATGGGCGGTTAACTCCGAGTGAGGCATTTAAAATTGAACTCTCTGAAAATGGAAATAAACTTTAAATTATGTAAATCAAATTATTAAAATTTTACAAAATCACCTATTTCAATTTTTAAATATGACCCACAGATTATATCATTATATTCTAAATCTCCCTCAAGAAATTATGAACTGCTACGGCGTGTTAATTTTTAGTTGACAATTTAATTTCAAATATATTTTGGGAACAAGTAATTAAAAATGAACAAATTATTTGTCAAATTCCAAAATTTCCCAGGAACAATAGTTCTTGTAAAATTTATCAGTTAAAAAGGATGTAGAAAATATCAAAAAATGCGTAGCAACACGAAGCTGTGAATGTACTTTGACAAGGTGCATAAACGGAATGTAAAGATATTTAACCCTTTTTCATACACTCGCGCTTAAAAATTACCCCGAGTCCTCGCAGTAGGATACTTGTATATAGTATCGTTTTAAGGGAAGTTAAGGGTCCCGATGGATGTAGGCATGGATCGTGCATTTTTCCCAAACCTTCCTTCTGAACGGCTTCTAAAACTGGACTACTAAATTTAAATACACGCTTTACATATCTACAGAAATATTTATGTATATAAATGCATCGTCCGTTTCTTGGAATTTAATGAAATTTTTCCCGGACTCAGACAAAACTAGAATAAAAACTTTTTTTGGATGGGATAAGCTACATGCATGTATTCGTAGATTAGCAGCATCGTGACTCAAATGATAGAATCATTAATTTCAAAATGTAATTCGATCCTATCAATAATTTCGAATTATAATGTCTAATTAAGATTGTAAATTTTTTAGATTGTAGGAAGGTAAATAAGTTAGATTTTAAGATAAAATATAAAAAAATAAAATGTAAAATTTTTGAGCGGATTTTCTTTTAGTGGGACACTTGCATTGCTAGGTTAGCACGTACATATGTTTTTCTCTTGCGCTGTCTAAATGATTCTTTAACACATTTATTTAGAACACATTTATGTAGCATGAGGAATAAATTAATTCAAATTCGTCAATTGTAACTTGTACCACAATCGGAGATAGACCAAAATTAATTTAAAAAATTAAATAAATTTGAAATGATATTTTTATTTGTATGGAGATTTCACACTTTATACATACATGCACAATTAATTAATTGGGAATTGATTTAGGAAATATTACAATTCATTAAGATAGATATATACAATGAAATAGTGTTTTTTCGCGCTCTAACGATTTTCAAGTTAGATACCTTAAAAGTTGCGTAAAATTGAGTAGATCAAAAATCCGTAATAAAATTGGGGGGGCCCTTTGGTGGATTTTGAGATCTGAGCCAAAATATGCGAATTTTTTGCTAATTTTGGATTTTGACTCAAACTCGTCCAAATTTTAGTCAAATATCACCGGAAATAATTTTAAAAATTATTTTGTACCAGAATTTGGCCGCTGCCTTGATTTCTGACCCCAATTTTCTAATATGTTGAACTTTTCAAAATAATTGCATTTTCCACATTAGTATTCCACGATCGAATTATTGAATTTTGATTTGCATGTGAAGGTAAACGAGAGGTCTAAGAATGGAGCTAAAGCTTTAAATAGAATCCCGTACTTATTCCGAAATTTTTATACGAACTAGTAATGTTGTTACTGATTCGAAATTATGTGAATATGTACGAAACTCTTCGACTTTTGTTATTGTGGTCGTACACAAATTTGGAGACCGCAGTTACAACTAACTTACAAAAAAAATTTGAACGAAATCTAAATTATAATATGAATAATGAGTTTCTGGTTATCATTACAACGGATTCCTGATACGTCCTGTTGACAATGCAGAATTTTAATGTAAAGTTTTGTTAACCACTCGGAATGTTGTTAATGCCGCGTTGACTTGTTGAAATAACTATTTACATGCCTACCTACATTAATCTTAAATTAAAATTTGTACACAAAAAACTGCGTTAAACCGAAAGGAGATCCAGATACATATTACGTTATCAAAAAGGAGGGTGGGTGGGACGCCCACATCTTACCCCTGTTAAGTTTATATTGAGTATGGTAAGGAAAGTGCGGATGGGTGGATGATTTTAAGATCGGCGTTTTTTCATAATGTACGTAATAAACGGACATTACCAAATATCTGAGTCTTAAATATGACACTTTGTGTAGGGTAAAAATTAGGGTTGCCGCGGGTAGCGAAAATGCTACCCGTTACCCGACCCGTTACCCGCAGCACAACTACCCGTACCCGCACGGGTACCCGTGCGGGTACCCGTTACCCGCTACCCGTTACGAGAATTAAGTTAAAACTAACTAACCTTCATAATAAATTTGATTTAATCAATTATTTGCTCATTTGGGTTGTTCAGTAGTTGGATATAATACTGTGCAGGTACCGAATGCCATAATTTGCTAGATGACCTTAGATTTTTCTGAAACCAAACTTTTTTGGCTTACAATGGAACCTTTTCAAGCCTATGCCGTGATTTCTTAGCGAATTATATAGAAAAATCAAGCCAAAAATTAGGAATTATCACTTATTTTTCTGTTGAATAGCCCGTTAAAAGAAAACTATTTGGGGGGAGAGTTCAAAGTCAACTATGGTTAACGTCAGCGAAGGAAAAAGATGCGAAACATGTACTTAAAAATTGGACTTTGACGTTAATATTTTGATATACTCGCGAGACAATCCTTGTGTAATTTGAAAATAGAGTCAATTTTTAGTCTGATTTTTAAAATTTATATTTTAAATGAAGGCATCATTTACGAAATTGCCTACAAATAAAATTTTTGCTTTCAATCGATTCAAGTTTTTCACCTTCAAAGCACAAATTAAAATCTCGTCAGTTTTACATAAAGACACAAGTACAAGTCAAGTTATTACTGATGTTTCAGAGCAGGCAAGTTATTCTTGAGAAACAATAATTTCTCCGCATTTTCCAAGAATAAAAAGCATTTAAGGCTGCCGTAGGCTTCTGTTGCTTCCGAAAACACACGCTCGCTATCAACGTTAGTTGCTGGCAAATGGAAAATGCCAAAATTTGAAATGAATAAATAATAAATTGGTGCTTTTGTTCGTAAATGGACTAACTTTCTTTGTGAGCTGTTTTAAGTCGAAAATTAAATAAAAACTGAACTACCCGTTACCCGTGCGGGTAGTTCTCGCTACCCGCAGAGAACGGGTACCCGCAAAAATCGTGCGGGTATGCGGGTAACGGGTACCCGACCCGTTACCCGCGGCAACCCTAGTAAAAATGCAGGAAGTGCCTTTTTGCTAATTGGAGCAAGGTGAGACGAAAACCCTGAGATCAAATTAATTTGAAAGTTATTCATTTCGTTTTGGTACTTTTCTCAAATATGAACTTTACCCCAAAATTTGATTAATTAAGCTGATTACGATACATATAAACCAAAATAAGATTTTTGGATAAGCACTCTCCACATTATGTGTACCCTCACAACGAAAAGTTCTTCAATATCCTCGTTTAACAATATGTAAACCCAAATATTAATTAGAAGGATATTTAGTACAGCGTTTTTTTCTACTTTTCCAAATTATGCATTCGACCCAAATGATTCGCTAAGTTACTAAACATGAAGAATTTCTTGGCACAGAAATAACACTCAATTTTCTTGGTTTCACCTCCATGAATCCGGCTTATGTGAGAGGTCAGTTGTGATCTTTGTGATGCATTATACTCACACTTTTTACAGTAGTGAATGGCCCCTTTCTCCAGTGTGTACTTTTCCTTCCTAAAATGCCCCACTAATTGAGAAAAAAATGAAAATTTCTTTCCACAGAAGTAGCAAACGTATTTCTTTCCGTAGTTGCTATGTATGTTTTTCATATGTGCTGTTAAATTTGCTTTGTGGTGCGTGAAAAAATCACATTTTCCACAGGGGTAAGTTGGACCCTTGCTGGTAGAGTAGTTTCCCGCTATATGATATTTCAAATGAGAGGCACTGCTTAGTCTCTTGTAACAAAGGGCAGTCATAACTAGGACGTGAGTTTTCGTGCTTATTCCGGATATGTTGGCGGAGTGTAGAATTGTTCAGGAAGGTTTGAAGACATAAGGTGCACTGGACCAAGGGTCGGTCAGATTTGGCGAGATGCACTCTCTGAACGAAAATTTAGGTAGATTACTTTTAATTCACACATTTCAAAAATATTTGACCAACAATGCGATAGTGTGAAGTGTAACCAGCCGATTTGGTTGAAATTTTGAAATTATGTGGTCCATGTCAATACAACCGACGTTTCTTGAGGCGGTTAGTGTGATGGTCAGAATTTTCCAAAATAATTGAGGCCAAAGTTGAAAAACGGGCGATTTTTACCAGGCGGAGGAAGCAAACTCAACTTCAATTCTCTTCCCGTGCTAAAAATTGCATATTTTTTTAATTTCGTTCAAATATTTTGGCAAATTCTGACCATCACACAAACTTCCCGAAGAAACGCTGGTTGTATTGGCATGAACCACATAATTTCGAAATTTCAACCAAATCGGATGGTTACACTTCACACCATCCCATTGTAAGTAGAATTGCTATTATATAATAACTGTATCCTGGGCCAATCCAAAAATGCAAAAAATATATATGGGTGTCTTACAAGAAAATCGTGCTAGGTTTTGATGGCAGATTTTAAATTGTGCCTAACCTTCCCCCCCCCCCCCAACCGCTGAAAATTTATAAATCTGCCATTAAAACCTTGTAATTAATTCGCAAAATACATTTTGCAAATTTTAGCCTATATTGGACTAATTTTTTGCACTGTTGTGTATGTACGTAATTCACAATTTTACTTAACCTAGAGTTAATTTAGCAAAATATTTTGGACATAAAATATTTTCATGTTCCCAAACTTACCTCATGAGCTTGCAGATTGTACTTTTCTGAAAAACTGAACGCGCATGTGGAACACTTGAAAGGCTTCTCCTTCGTGTGGGTGACAATGTGTCGTCGGAGCTTGGCCAAAGTTTTGAATTCAATTGGACACAGGGTGCATCGAAATGATGCTGGAGGCCGGTTGTGAAGGAATTTCACGTGTGTGCTGATATACCTGCGATTACTAAATGTTTTATCACATCCGGAAATTGGGCATGGGACACGAGGTGTAAATTTTTTAAGATATTTTTACGATTTTTTCTACAAACTCCTATGGTCAATCAAATTGCGAAATTTTGCAAGAAATTGAAACACTCAAATTTTTGAAAAATTTCATTACACACGAAATTTGAACTCCTTGTTGTGATTTTAATCAAAAATTATTAAAATCCGTCCAGGATTTGAAAAGTTATGACGGTTTTAAAATTAAAAACCATTAAAATTGGCGAATTTGGCGCCACGGCAAGTTTTACATGGAAATATGAATGGATCCTTGATAGTAGATTCAAAAAACCATGGCGAGTACTCTTGACTCAAACGACAGGTCGTTAGTGTCCCTTGTCAATATTTACAATGATTCATAAAAATGGATCAATTTTATCTTGAAATACCAAATTAGATATGATATAAGACTTACTTTACAAGTCATTGATCAGGAAATTTTTTAATTATATGGTGCAGTAATATATCTCATATAATATATCTATTCGTATGCAAAGGGTGATTTAAATGTCTCGGTACAATTGCAAATTTATCAAATGTATTTATTATTTATTGCAAATTTATTTTAAATTTCTATTGTTTGCCGTTACCACTCTGCCTCTGAAATTCGTCATTTTTAGAAGTGTGGCATTACGTTTTTAAATCAATTTTGGTATAAAAGTTGAATAATGAAGGATGAGAATCTCAATTCCTAATCCTCCAAAGGATCGCTCAACTCTGCAAAATTTCACTGTGCAAAAATTTTCATTATGGCGACACCTCTAAACCAGCCTGAATACGGGGCATGTGCAATTCCCAAGCGAACTGTCGACCATATAAAACTTGGAAATATTTTAAACACAATGCTAATCAGAGTTGTCAACGTATCGATATACACCCTTATGAAATGTTTGAGTTTAAATATTTTGCCAGTTAAACACTCGACAATGACGGGTAATACGAGGAAAAAAAACACCTGGCAATTGTCCCTCCTCGCAAGAAATTCGTCACCCGCAAAAGATTCGTCGCTCTCAGAGGATTCATCGCCCGACGAAGATTCGTCGTTCGAAGAAGAATCACCGACGCGGGAAGATTCGTCATCGTTGTTCGTCACATTCCGGTCCATTGCTGGGTGAGCATCCCTGGTAAATAATAGTAAAGGGTGTTGATTTAGTTACTTACAATGGAGGTCTCCCAACGTATGCTCACAGATTTGGACGAAACTAACGTCAATCGATCACAAATATAATTAGTATGCAATTTGAAAATGGAACTATCTGCCAATGCGCAGGTTTGGCGGAGATATTTGCATCAAAAGTGGGAAAAATGCGCAGCAAATTTGGAAAATGAAAAATTTGCCAGCCTTGGGGATGCGTTTTCTCCACTTTTTATGCAAATATCTCCGCCAAACCTGCGCATTGGCAGATATATGCAATGAATTGGGAAAGACACAGTAATAAAGATATACATACATATGTACATACATACATACATACAGATAGTGCCATTTGCAAATTTCCTACTAATTATTTTCGTGATCGATTGACGCTACTTTGGTCCAAATCTGTGAGCATACGTTGGGAGACCTCCATTGTTAGTCCGGGTGTGTTGTTGGGAATGCGACACAAATTTGTGAAATTAGTAGAAGGTCGAAGGAAATAAGTGAAAGGCATGAGTAGCATAAATTGCGGTAAGACGAATCAACATAGTTATGCATATCTGATCGAATAATTGACTTTGAAGTTTTCGCCGTATAGAGGTACAAGTTCTCAAATTTTAGGGAACTTTCGGATTAAGCATTTTAGCACAAAATTGTCACGCAAACGTTACGTTTCTCGTTTATGACGATCGAAAATTAAGCGTTTGGGTGAACATTTAGTGTGAAAGTGAAAACCTTAATTCGCAAGCACTATATTGACAAGAGGAAGTGAGACGAATTAAAACAACACCCTTTAGTATATAAGTTTCGTTAAATTACTGGTATAGGGAACGTCCATACATTACGTCATCAAAAATACAAGTGCATACTTTTGGTCGCCAGGCTTACTCTTGTTAAGCTAAACATGAATCCGATATTTGGAGGGATGGTGGAAAAATCAGCGTTTTTTGATGACGTAATATATGGACGATCCCATAAGGGAACATGAAATTTAAGTTTTAAGATCCTTATTATAAACGCACGTCCTTTTGTATCTCGGAAGGTGCAAGTAATCACTTGTGTGAAATATGTAACTGTAAGAAAATGGTTTCATGCAGACATTTCGACCTGCAAGAACTGCAACCACTTCTTGCCGCTACACTCTAAATAATTTGGAGACAAATCGTTACCCGTCGGAGGTACTATAGTGCTCTATTTTTGGGTAGCGATTTAGGAGACGTTTTATCACCAGGTGGATATAAGCTTAAAACTCATGCACGCCGCACACGCGACGTCGTCATTTAAAAAATTCAATACTGTCATGTAAAAAAAATCTTATTGCCAGATAAAAATATTTCATTTTTTGTAAATTACGACGGCACGTGTATTTGATACACGAGTTTTTTGCTTATCTCCCACTGGTGATAAAACGTCTCCTAAATCGTTACCCAAAAATAGAGCACTATAGTACCTCCGCGAGTGACGATTCGTCTCAAAATTATTTACAGTGTACATATTCTTTAGAATACTTTTTTGCATTTATTGCTTACAAAATAAAGCAAACGTGCAAAAAATTTGGAAAAAAAGTTATCGTTTTAAAAGTGTTTTGCTTACCAAAAGCGACGCCTATCTTGAACACGGGGATTTTCTTGGTCAATCCAATTCTTGGTCTGAAGAGCGGCGAGATTTTCGGCCAGTAAATTTCGACAGGAGTATCGTCCATACGAAGTGCGGCAGACGGGACATTTCTTTCGTAGCTTGGGGGCGTGTTCGGCGCAGATGTTGTGCCCATTTTTGCACTGGAGGACCCGGCCGGAGAAGGTGTCCAGACAAACTGGACATTCCAAGTGTGCCATTAGCTCAGGAAACCCAGAGTGAGACATTTCGCTAGTATAAAAATATATTAATTCAGAAATAAATTTATGGAATACTAAATTTTAGGAAATCGCCGATTTCAATTATGTAAAAGAGAATAGCTCTAAAAATTGTAAATTTTAAGTAAAAAAAATAAATTCTGAAAAATAACCGTAGTTTAATTTGTAACAGATAATTTGATCAATTGTAAACTTTGGCTAATTGAAGATACATAAATAAACTATATTTTTCTCCAACTAGGTTTAAATGTTAAAACTAGAATTTTAAACTAGAATATATATTTTATTTTAAATTGTAAACCTGAATTCCTTTCCAAATTTGTGTATAACAAAAAAATGCAGCCAGATAGTAGCAGTCCGAAGCTGTGACTTTCCTTTGTCCGATAAACGAAATGAAGGGGTAGTTAACCCTTTTTACATGCATGCAGTGAGTCGTCCTTTAAAACTATGTAGCTCGAATCCCCTCCCGTCAACAAAATATTTATGTGCATATGCACATTTACTTATCATTTTAAATACGATATTTATACATTTTGCCTTTCATTCTCAACCCTTTTGTTGGAAGGCTGCTTGAACTTGATGCGTTTTTTTTATACCCAGAAGAATATGTGTCTGCATGCAAGTATGTATTTATAGTATTTATCATTGTTTTCTTGGAATTTGACCTTTAAATGCCTTTCTTGCTTAAAGCCTTTCTTCAAGCCAAGACGGGTTGACCCAACCTTGTTACTATGTGTTTATATACATAGATTAAGAATGGGTGACATGTTTTATGTGTATGTAGTACATACTATGTACGATAAATCGAAATTGATATATAGGTATGTACATAACTTTAAGCTTTTAAGAACATGATTAAATACAGCTAATGATTATGTATTTAAAGACTCGGGTATTAAACTTTAAAATTTTGGAATCAAGATTCCGCTATAAATAGAGTATTTCAAGTGATAAACATTTCAAAATCTTGTGCACGCTGACGCAGCTTATTCTTCCATGATATTCAAGAAAGGAATATCCGTAGACAACTTTACTAATCTTACCAGCAGACGGCGGGTATGTATGCATTTCTAACTTTTCATTCCAAACCAGATCAAACTAAAACTTCGCATACTAAACTCCCATCTTAGCGCGATCGCAAAAATTGAAACATAGTTTTCCATATTTTTAAGGGTTTTCGATATTACATATTTTCATGTATATTTCGAGTATTTTACGAAATGTAAATATTTTACTAGATATTTCGGTTTTTATAACGTAAGTTTTTTATATAAAAATATTTTTCTTCACTCGGAAAGTAAGGTTTCGTCAAAATTATATTTAATAAATATAGTAGAAAATTTAAGTTCAGAAACATTTTTTTATGTGCATACACATTCTCAGGTTTTTTAAGCACATAGATATTTTGTGAAATTTGCATACATACATATCCCTCCTATAATGCTTATTAGTGACTAATGTTATTAGTTACCTCGAAGGTGGGTAAGCAGTTTTGGTTCGCTTATTTACTCGTGTTAGTGTTAACATGGTACGATATTGCAGGTACATATTGGTGGATAATCAAAAAATCGAGGATGATTTTGATGAGGTAATACATGTATAGACGTTCCCAAAGTATAATAAAATTCTCATGTAGATGGGCTTGGTATGCAATAATGTCGGTATTTCGATATGTTTTATGCACAGAAAGATTGACTAGGGAAGGGAAATATCGAATAAGTACTACATTTTAAAAACCAGCCGAGTTCGAGTATATACTCGGAATTTTGGACCGAGTTCTCGAGCTCCCCCGGCTGCCCCCGAGTTCTCGAGCTCCCCCGGCTGCCCCCGAGTTCTCGAGCTTCTCCGCTTTGGATCATTGCGTGTTCTTTGGAACAGCGAGCACTCGAAAAATCGAGTTATTTCCCATTTGCATTTTATAATTTAAATTTAAACTTAAAAAAATTACAACTAAAATTACAATTCAAAAATACGGTAAACAACCTTAAAGTTCGTTTTTACTAAAAAAAATACCTGCTTAAAAAATCTATAACTAAAAAAATATTTTCAAAATCTGCTAGCAATTATTATGGAAATCACATGGACAAAAATACATAAATAGATGTTTAAAATTATAACCATTTTACACACATTTTTAATGCATGCTCATAAATTTATTAAACAGCTACAGTTCCAACGCCTGAATGAGTATTATTTACTAAGAATCGGATGTGGACGAATCATTTGCTCTTTCAAAACTTCCTTGTGGCGGATTATCTGATTTAGTTTCGAAAAATAAACCCATCCATTGGATCCAGAAGGAGCAACCGCACCGTTGACTTAGCGCAGAATCCCGTGGTCACCAACGGAGTGGACACCTCGATGAAATTATTTCCAAATCTGATCTTGATTGGGGCCAAACCATTCACAATTTTCCTCAGATCCAAAAGTTTCGATCTGACTGCACGTTTCATCTTATCGATGCACGCGGTTGACCGCTTGTTCGCCAAGCCCGCGACAAGTCCAAACCCGAGAAGGGCGACAGACGTCTCAACCGCCATTATGGGGAAGATGGCGTTCCCCACGTGCTCCTGGATATCAAACTTCGTGGACACGGTCAAATAGACACAGAAGATATTGGCGGATACGGCATAGAGAAGAATGGCGGGAAGGACGCTGGGTCGGAAGCAGAGGTTCACGTGAGACACTAGTATCTCGACTTGCTGGTAAAAGTTGATTTCTGTCGGGGTAATTTTTGTTGGGAGGTATTTGAACGACCTGAAATGTCAACCATTTTTTAAAGAAATGTTTACGTGAGTCGTATTGAGTAATGAATTATTATGTGGATAATAAATCAAATTAATACTTGATGACTTCGTCAAAATTAATACATTTTTAATCATTACTCGCCTCTGGAAATATATTTTATGTAAAATTCTGATCGAAAAATTTGTTGGACGGGTTGTTAATTTTTTAAACCCATTAAAAATTTGTTTAATTCTGAGATTTTGGTGATTACTCTACGCGTCCAACAAAAATAGATGAGTTAATCACAAAATTGTGCAAGTACTGACCTGATTAAGGCTGTAACGTACATCGTAACGCTGATCAGATTTCCGAACAATAGATGTCCCACGGTTAGACAGAATGGGATTGAGAACACATAAATTATCCACGTTTGATAAAAATTTACGACAATATGGAAAGACATCGTGATCAGGTTGGCACCATCATTCCAGGGAGGAAGCAGCGATCCGTAGAAGGGCGGGAGACTTGGGTCGTACAGGGTGATAACCATTATACCAGGTGGCACGAAAGTCGAGATAGCAAGGGCTGACCAGCCACAAACGCGCACCCCCAGTTTCCAGCGGGATAAGAAGGCAACTTCATGATGGGGTGGGAAACCTGCAGATAATACAGAGGGTGTCGATTTAAATCGTCCAGAGTGTTTCTTTAAACCCGACAAAAATTTATGAACATTAGCAGCAAGTCGAAAGAAAATAGTTAAGGGTATGATAATTTAGTATGAATGGCCGGGAAATAAGTACAGGGTGGTTTAAATGTTAGGTTACAATGGAAAATTTTTCAATGGCGAAATTCGAAAATTTTCATTAGTTACGGATTAAGGATTGACAATTTTATTAATTTTTATCAAAACTTATGGAACTCTGATGACAAAATTATTAAAATATTGAATTTCACAGGCAAATTTTTGGTAACTAATGGAGATTTGCGAATTTTTTCCATTGCAAAATTTTCGATTGTAACCTGACATTTAAGCCACCCTGTATATTAATAATTTGTCCTTGATTATAAAATTTAGCTCGCAGCTTTCACCGTATTTGGGGTGAATATTGTCAAATATTAACAAGACAGATCGTAACGAATTATATCAATGAACCACTTACCCAATTGTCGGAACTCGTTTTTCTCAAAGTGCAGCATCATGTTCACACAGGACACGAAGGGGTCTGGATAGAGCAGGACTTTCCATGTAACCAAAAGCGCGGGTGCAGTTGCAATGGTAAACACTTCCACAAACATTTTTGGCACATCCTCCCGGAAAAAAATTGCGTAGCATCCGTTAAAAAATAGTACGGCGACGGATATGAGGACGATCCATATTTTTATTCGGTTACGAAAAGTTGAGTAGGTTAAAGTGAATTCTTTCCTTTTCGGGTTGAAGTGGATGAGCTGAATGCCAAATTTGGATAACAACTTGACCTGAAGATTCATAACTGGGACGACAGAATGAAACGACATATTTGTGTACTTTCTATTTAGCAGTTTATACAGTACTGGAAGTCAACAAGAGGTCTAAATACGCAACCTTAGGTTACATGTCGAGACTAATTGCCAAAGCTTTGATACACGGTTTCAGTTCGACAAATGTTTATTTTAAATCTTGGCATGAACAATAAGAAAATTGAACACCAATGAACTATCTAAAATTTATGAGACGTGCATTCTTTAAGACTGGACGAGTAGTCTGGTTACAACCTCTAATATGTGCATAGAATCTAGAGAAGAAGCTCGAATATGTGCATATCCGGCAAGTTTGTGATAAGGTTTTATTCCTAAAGTTACGTTTCACCAGTGGGTTCACTAAAAACTTCAAAGAGGCGTAAACTTAGCTCTAGAATGTATGTAGAAGGCGTCAGAATGTTTGCGCAAGAGGTCGCATTCGATGTTTTTAAGGTGGACTTGTTTATCAACTTGAAGAGTAAACAAACATCCTTTTTGGATTCGACGCTGCTTTAATTGCAATTATAACGATCCCGTAATTTATATACGTTTGAATATCGAAATTTATACAACATTTTCATCAATTTGCTAAGCTTGGGATTAAATACCTTAGATACATAAATATGTACAAATAATGCATTAATGCTATTACCTATTAACCTATTTTGACAGGATGTGTACATTAAAAATTTATTCCGCTATTTATTCATCCCAATCTAGCTTATTACAGTGCGTTTATGTCGAAAATTATTAGGCAGAAATGAGTAATATTTGCAAAAGCTAAACCAATACAATAACAAACTGTAAGCTTAACATTTGTTTTGTAAATAAACCATTTTAGTCGTATTGACCTCTGCAATGGAAATTTGTAGTTCAGCCCGAAGGAAAAACTTAACTTTTGACTAATTTGATAATCACTGCATTTTATTTCAACCTTGATTCAAGTGTTAACCGATAACATGTTACAATACAGGGTTTAAATCTATGACACAACCGACTGCAAGTACATACGTATGCATAATAAGCACTAACCTATAGGTTTTTGGTAATGACTGCTATGAATTATGAGCATATATTAAATAAAGAAGATTGGCCCTAACCATAGTACAACTATGCCTGGTGATTATTAATTACAAATTTACGACCTGATTCTATCGGCTAAATACATAGTTAGCATTTCCAAAAATATGTGTTACCCATCTGCATCTGCATAACTCACTGATCGAGGAG